GGTGTAGAGACATGCATCATGAATCTAAGTCAAAAGACAAATTAAAAAAATAATTCTAAAAGCTTTCTTTGACAAATTTTATACTAACTTCATTGCAACAAGTTTAAATTACATTTTCTAACAGAGAGCTAAGACCTGTTTGTATTGTAGTAAATTTAATTCATTGCTAAGCATCACGGTGCGGAGCTATTAGTTTCAGTCGATATACACGCCATCTTGAAATAATTACTAATCACATATAGATTCTGATTGGTTGCTTTATGATGCGGCTGAGATACAGCAACAGCTATTGGCTTAAATAAAGGCAATAGTAGTATACCGCTGTTCGAAATTCATAAATCGATTGAGAAATGGGATAAAGAATTACAGACTTTTCTCGTCTCAGGATAAGACATCAAATGCCGGAAAATTAACTATGTGTATTTCAGTTCCGATCAACTGTCATTAATTCATGTTCGTTTTATAATGCATATATTGCACACTTAAATTCATAAATTATTGAAATATCAATTCTTAATACGTGTTTATTTGCTTTGTTAATCTGCAATATGCACGATTTGTTTTGCTAAACAATGTTCCTATACAATGTTTACAAAAATGCATTATCTGTATTTTATAACTTCTGCCAATCTAGGCACACCTGCAGAGAGGCACACCTCCAGAATACTAATTCAACAACCACATGCACACATATTACCTTAAATTAGGATAAAGCGAAGCAGTCCACAGATTTTTAGAAAGCTCAAATTTGTTACACGACTTTCAAAAATGGTCCGCATGACTTTCAAACTGGTGCGCACGAGTTTCAAAGTCATACGCACCAGTTTTTGAAAGTCGTGCGCACCATTCTAAAAGTCGTGTGCACCATTTTTGAGGAAGTCGTGCGCTCGAGTTTGAAAATCGTGCGCACCATTTTGAAAGTAATGCGCCATGTTTAAGTCATGCGCACCAGTTTGCAAGTCGTGCGCACAATTTTTCAAACTGGTGCGCACCAGATTAAATTTCCGGAAAACGAAAATATCTATATTTACATGGCTCTTAAGGGGCTACGTAATTATGCTTTATTATAATGTCTGTATTATCAACTACAACAACTTTGTCAGATTTAATTGTTAATGTGTTTGAACATTAATTCAGTTGTGTTGTATGTCTGGGATGTAGGTTTACACAGCTTTTAGCTGCTGGATCCCAGTGATGGCCACTTTAACTAACTATGTCTGTTTGGGTTGCTTATCTCAAATTGCCAATATAACGGAACATTAACAACTGTCATACAAGTGGGCGTACTAGCTAGCATGAAAAACAGATTTTCGAAATTTACCCAAAAATTTTTTTTTTTGTAAAAATATTTCCTTTCTCCTTTTAAACTGTATACCTATTAACAAAATTATTTTCATTTACCTGTGCATAATTTATCGTAAATGGCGGATTTTTGTTAAAGGTTATTGTTGTTTTTTCTGAAATTGTTTAACATTTCATAGCGGTATAATACTGTTACCTTCATTATTCATCCCTTATTTTATTGATTTTGTATTTATATTGTATCATAGATCAAATTTATTCGTTCAGTGTATGTTCACTTGTGTTAATATGTCTTTGGATTGGGTTAAGCCATTTCAATTGATATTTTAAAGTGTGTCTTTCTATGTTGTGATGTTACACTATTGTTTCAGATAAGGGTGAAGGTTTGGTACCATTAAAACGTTTAAACCCGCTGCAATTGTTTGCACCTGTCCTTAGTCAGGAATCTGATGTTCTGTAGTTGTCGTTTGTTGATGTGGTTCATAAGTGTTTCTCGTTTCTCGTTTTTTATTTAGATTAGACCGTTGGTTTTCCCGTTTAAATAGTTTTACAGTAGTCATTTTTGGGGCCCTTTATAGCTTGCTGTGCGGTGTGAGCCAAGGCTCCGTGTTGAAGACCGTACTTTGACCTATAACGGTTTACTTTTATAACTTGTGACTTGGATGGAGAGTTGTCTCATTGGCATTCATACCATATTTTCTCATATCTATTAACCAAATATTTTCTTAGTACAATGCCTGTGCCTAGTCAGGAATATGACAGTTGTTTTCCTGCGGGATTTTTTAGACAATGTTTTTTTTTTTCTATTTTTACAAAAATCAACAAGGATCTTCGTTTTATAGATATGGCTGCATAAAAATTAATGGAAATGAAATGAGACAATCTTAACTTTTCAAACAACATTAAACCTATGCAGAACGGAACGACGGACTTATACTGTTATAAGAAAACTGGTCGGTGTGGTATTATCAAATAATATGATCCAATGGCACTGAACCATCATAGCCCTATTCACAAACAAAAGTGAAGCAGAGTAAGTCATGCAAATCCAATCTTTTGTTATACCAATTACAAATATAAATCATCATGTGGTTAAAGAAAGAATTGATCGTTTTGTGGATTTTTGCAATAACGAATAAGCGGCAACAGATCTTCCACGATCCTTTTCACGATCATCAAAATGCGGTACCCGATCTTTCACGATCCGAAATGTCAAATTTTTACAAATATTACCATTTTTTGCAAAGTTTCTGATTAAACTAAAACAAAAATGCATTAAAAATTCGAAAAAAAAACATTTTTATTTCTTCGAAATTTCGATGAGCAATCTGCCTTTTGCAGTTTTGTAAAAACGGTGTACTTTTAAACCTCGATTTTCTCGGATACTGATCACACTGTTAAACCATTTTTACAGACAGTTTTATTTTCCAATATATGTCATTATAATTGATAAAATTAGATTATTTACTGACGTTGTATGTGTCTTCTCGATACGATTTCCTTCACGATCCGATACCAGATCTCTCACCATCCAATCGCAATACTTGACCACCGTTACTTATTCTTTCACGATCATTTTTCTCGATATACCGAATGACAGCCGTGAGTGATAATCATGTAGTCAATTGATGTTTATTACTTACGCTAAATGAAGTTAAAACTAGGATATTATTGTGTATTCATATTACAAGATAACTTTAAAGATAAGAATTTTATGGCGCCAAATTAGGACCACAAGGGGCATATAACATAAAACAATATGATTGGAAATATTTGCATATATGATGATTAATATATACATATTGAATCTAAACATACAAAAATAAATTAATGAATAATAAAATAAAATAATGAATAATGTATATTTTTGTTTGATACAAAACTAGTATTGATGTTTGAAATTTATTTTGCACAATGGAAGTGTACTATACCTTATCTGCTGAAGGCACCAATAGTTGGTGCTTGAAGGAGAAAACTCTACTTGTAATCAAACAGATAAGGCAAACACATATTTTACTGTGAGGAATACTATTCATTATCTACTAGTAGAGGTCGGTCAATTAAAAACTATGACGTTGACGTATACGCATCTAGGGGAATATGCTAAAATAATTATCCCAATCGAATATATTGCTCGGTGTACTATTTTTGAAGATTAATGGGGATAAATGTCATATTTCGTACTACCCTTCAGTGGTAGACCCCCATTTTTCGTAAAAACAACATCATCGACAATCTAGAAAAAACTGTGTATAATTGTTGTAGGTCTCCATTTTGTTGTTTCAATGCTAAATATAAATAAGCTATATATTAAGTTGAAGTGAGGCATTCAGAAATAAACAGATTGAAATTAATCAGTGCCACAAAGTTTGATCCCCGGTATTCTTTAAAAATGGTACATTAAGTAATACTCTCGATCAGGGTAACTATTTGAGCATATTCCCCCAGATGCGCATACGTCAACGTATCTGATACTTTGGATCGTTTTAAATTGTCGGACCTATTGTCACGTATCTGCAGAAAATCAAGAGTCGAAATCCATACTTGTACCTAGTGCAATCAAAACACAAACAAACGTTTGTTGATGTGGTTCATAAGTGGGTCTCGTTTATCGTTTTTTATATAGATTAGGCCGTTGGTTTTCCTGTTTGAATGGTTTTACACTAGTCATTTTTGGGGCCCTTTATAGCTTGCTGTTCGGTGTGAGACAAGGCTCCGTGTTGAAGGCCGAACTTTGACCTATAATGGTTTACTTTTACAAATTGTGACTTTGATGGAGAGTTGTCTCATTGGCACTCATACCACATCTTCTTATATCTATATGTATTAAGTCAGTGATTTCATTACAACAAATTACTTAAAACATTTTAATACTTAATTCTTTCATAAATACAAATATTTGTTTTGGAAGTGTGGCAGTAACTGTAGCCTTTTCAAACTGGTTCAGTTCATTACCGAAGGCCTAACAGTCCCTTGTTAGACTTATTTGCTTACATCATCTCTGCATAGTTGACTCATTGGCAATCATACCACAAGTCTTTTAATTTATACTGGTATATGATTTGTTGTCGTAATCTAAATTTCAGAAATTTGGACATGATTTTAATATACTTTGCATTAATTAATCTCAATTTGTAAAAGGATTTCATTTTAAAATAAATAATGAACTTCATCTTCAGCCACACCAGCAGTGCACCTTGGACTAATTCGGTCTTGTGAAGAGTACCCTAGCATCTCCAAGATTCAATTTGCAATTTGTCAGTAAATGTTCTTTTTGTAATTTAACATTTCCTTTGCTAAAAAAGTCGTATACATGTAATTGACATTATTTTCCAAAACAAAACTACATGAATTCATAATGTTATGTTAATGTGTTTTTATTAGTTTTCCACAAATAAGATGTATTTATGAATGTTTCCTAAAACGCAGAATGTTAATCTTCAACAATATTACTATAGCGCAATTTATATGTTGAAATTAACGTCTTATATAAACGTATGTCTTTTTGTATAGTTTAACTGGAAATCCCATAACATTTCCCACCGAGACCTATGTCTTTGGCTCCGTTGTACAAAAAAAATGAGATGTTTGACTTAAACAAACTGCTAAAATAAACGCCTTATAGCACAACGATAATTGCAAAACCGCAGTCACTCTCGGTAGTAAAACAGAACCATTATATCTAATGCAATACTCACAATTTATTCAGCGAATGCCTCCATGTTTAAATGGCACATACATTGTACGTGTTATAAAAATACTTAATATATATATATATACACACAGCTTGTCAGTTTTTATATATTCATTGTTCGCATGTGTGTGTACATACAATTACTGTATTTTTTCAAAGGTAGATAGTTCATCCGATTTAACACATCAATCAACCCGATACAGTTGTAATCTGTTATAACGTCTCGGCGTAAAGCTTTAACACTCCGACGGTCTTATTTCAGAGGAGTTGTTTATCGGTGGTTGATGTCTGTTGGACTATGTGGTGTTTTGGCGACTCATTTTATCCCTCTTTATGTATTATTGAAAGGGTTGAAATACCTTTCTCATCTGAGTATTTTTGTTGAGAATGTTTTGTTAACGGAATATTTTAACTATGCTCCGTCGTTTAAGGGCGTCTTAATGACATTTGACACATGGCAACGTACTCGGTGTATAACTTATGTCTCTTTTCTTGACGTTTTTATTCCGGATTGGTTTATAAATAAAATATGTATTTATTTTGCTGTTACAATAATCATTTTAACATTCAATAGCACATGTAGTTACAGGCCGATTTGTCAAAATAAAATTTGTTTTGACCGAACCCACAATCATTTAGACATTGTAACCCCTTTGTAGGTTAACTATTTATGGTTCCACTTTCATTGACGGTGTTGTTCAGCTAGTGGCTATTTTATGGAGTGTACATTTATGTAAGATTCCAGTGTGTTTGCAGTGACATCTCATCAGATTTCATATTTTTTCATTGCTAACAAATGTTTCAATCAGAGAGAAATATGTCATAAATAAGTTAAATGGGTATATTGATTTTATTGTAAAGGATATAAGCCGATAACCGTCCATTCTGTAAAATATTGGAAAACTTTTGTTATGATTTATTTTCATCAAGTGTGTAAATTGTTTTGTGGACAAACTTTATATAAATTATCCTACATGTTGATCCCTTTAAACAGTAGCTGAACTTAAACAATAAACAAAAATAAAGTACAGTTTAAGGTAAACAACAGGTATAGCTATATGTACATTTGTACATGAAGATAGTATGTGTACCATGCTTTTTGCATGCGCTAAGACTACTTTATATATTTTCCGTGAATACTTTTACATGCGTTTGGTGTCACAAAATTGATAAAGACGATGAAAGTATATTCTTAATGCTAAAAACGAAGAAAGTGATGTCGTAATTAGTGATTGTGTTGTTTCAAACTTTGTATTAAAATCAAATGTGTATTCAGATATATCCGATTTCAGTGCGAACAACGAAAAGGATATAGTTATAGCAGCTAATAATGGCAAGTTATATATATATATTTTAAAATGTAGTCCTCTCCTATTACTTCCTTATTACTTCTGGGGTTTTATTTCTTATTAGGTGAATGAGAAAAAAAGTAAAACATATGAGGCTTGAAGACAGGTTCACGTTGAAGAAAAAGGTTCAACCATATCGAGTGCACCGCTGCCGATTTTATTTCATATATAACACTATAAAATATAATGAATGAGCACAAATGAAGAGATAACAAGCGTGCAATCAATTTAAATTCTTTTGTTTTTCATTGGAATTTTCTCATCTTATATTACTTTAATGAATTTTAAGAGAATCATGATCCAAACCTTATATCTTTTATTTGTAAAAATGAATTAATATAGTTTTAATATCTAAATCCATCGCCCTGAAATGTCCGGAGATCAATATATCGATCAGACCTATTCACCAACTATACATGCAAAAAAATAAGATATTCACAATTTTCCCGTATGACAGTATGACGCAGGTCCCCTCTTTCCTTCCTCGTTCACCAAAATTTATCTAGACTCGGCAGTTTTTTTGCAAGAGACGGTTAGTGTTTACCCAAACCGTACCACCTGAATATCCCCCTTTTTTCTGTTTTTTCTGCGTATTAATGTCCCTTGTGTTGTTTTTTTTTTTCATGTTACCGAAATATAATTTTGTCTCTCGATTTCCCTTTGCAAATAACGCTTTCTTTTTGTCTTTAAGAAACAAAGCATTTTCGGTCTCCATGTATATTTGTTTCTGTGCTTAATATATAATTATTGCATTCAATCAACTTTACCTCCGAGATCTAAACTAAAGTGAATGTCTGAAACTGTTTGGAAAATACACTGGAAAGAAACAAATGTAATTCGTATTTTGATGTTATATATAGTAAAAATACTTTTATTAATCCTTCCCCCTTTTTCAATTTATTCAATGCAGGAAAGGGTTTTATGTTCAAATTTATATACCACAATTACAAACGGTCTAAAACTTATTGAACCACGTGCGATTAAATCTAGCACCGGCCTACGTTTATTTAATTTCAAGAGAGTACATCGGTTTAAAAAAAACGATCACTACGAACAAAGTGCGAATCGGACACATGATTGATTTGTTTAACAATTTAACCTGCGGTAGCGTGTTCCTTTCTTCTGCTTCCCATATTCATCGTCGTTGATAAGCGCCGTTTTGCATTATATTCCTATAAAGGCAATAATATCAGATTTGAAAGTAAACTAGAGGCTCTAAAGAGCCTGTGTCGCTCACCTTGGTCTATGTGCATATTAAACAAAGGACACAGATGGATTCATGACAAAATTGTGTTTTGGTGATGGTGATGTGTTTGTAGATCTTACTTTACTGAATATTCTTGCTGCTTACAATTATCTCTATTTATAATGAACTTGGCCCAGTAGTTACAGTGGAAAATATTTTGTAAAAATTTACAAAAATTTACAAAATTTATGAAAATTGTAAAAAATTGACTATAAAGGGCAATAACTCCTTAAGGGGTCAATTGACAATTTTGGTCATTTGAATTATTTGTAGATCTTACTTTGATGTACATTATTGCTGTTTACAGTTTATCTCTATCTATAATAATATTCAAGATAATAACCAAAAGCTGCAAAATTTTCTTAAAATTACCAATTCAGGGGCAGCAACCCAACAACGTGATGGCTGATTGGTGTGAAAATTTCAGGGCAGATAGATCTTGACCTAATGAACAATTTTATCCTGTCAGATTTGCTCTAAATGCTTTGGTTTCAGAGATATGAGCCAAAAACTGCATTTTACCCTATGTACTATTTTTTAGCCATGTCGGCCATCTTGGTTCGCGGGCGGGGTCATCGGACACATTTTTTAAACTAGATACCCTAATGATGACTGTGGACAAGTTTGGTTAAATTTGTCTTAGTAGTTTCAGAGGAGAAGATTTTTGTAAAAGATTACAAAAATTTACGAAAAATGGTAAAAAATTGACTATAAAGGGAAATAATTCCTTAAGGGGTCAACTGACCATTTTGGTCAAGTTGACTTATTTGTAGATCTTACTTTCCTGAACATTATTTCTGTTTACAGTTTATCTCTATATATAATATATATGTAATAATATTCAAGATAATAACCAAAAACGGCAAAAATTCCTTAAAATTACCAATTCAGGGGCAGCAACCCAACAACAGGTTGTCAGATTCATCTGAAAATTTCAGGGCAGATAGATCTTGACCTGATAAACAATTTTACCTCATGGCAGATTTGCTCTAAATGCTTTGGTTTCAGAGATATAACCCAAAATCTACATTTTACCCCTATGTTCTAATTTTAGCCATGGCGGCCATCTTGGTTGGTTGGCCGGGTCATTGGACAAATTTTTTAAACTAGATACCCCAATAATGATTGTGGCCAAGTTTGGTCAAATTTGGCCCAGTAGTTTCAGAGGAGAAGATTTTTGTAAAAGTTTACGGACGACGGACGCAGGACGCAAGACGCAAGACGCAGGACGACGGACGACGGACGACGGACGACGGACGACGGACGACGGACGCCAAGTGATGAGAAAAGCTCACTTGGCCCTTTTGGCCAGGTGAGCTAAAAACTTGTAAATCAATACCGACACCTGAAAATTATAAAAAATATTGTAGTCTCCGAGTTCATGAAGCAAGTTCTCGATTTGCACTTTGTACACAGGGTGAGGTTTAGGCCTAGGTTGTTAATCAAAATCTCTTGATTAGCTATTTTGTCCAAGGAACAATGTGTGACTTGCACATCAACACATGGTAAAACTTTACTTCAGATGAACGATTTTTCCCTGATTACGATAATAAAATTATTTTACTTGTGGGCCTTGAATTGCGGCATGATCGATGTTATGTAGAATGAGAGTAACACCAGAGGTCGATTTTTATATCCAAAGACGGACGAGGATAAATCTTTTGTAAGAAGAAATACCTAAAAGCAACAAAAACAAAACTTACAACGAGCATTATCAAACAAATTGGTGCTAAAGGAGACAACCCAAAACATGAGAAAAATGGCTATGAAATAAGTATTGGCAGTGTTAAAATCAATTTGAAAGGTTTTTTTTTTTCAAGAAACCGTCTTGATGAGTGACAAAATTATTGTATTGGAAGGTGACTTTAATAAAATGTTTTTGTGTAATTGTCATTTGTTCTTTGGTTGTATTTCTTTGTCATATGAAGAAACAAATTGTGTGAATTGATTGTTTTTTTTGTAAGTTCTTGAACTATCATTTACATGTAAACTACCTTCAGCTGTCCAATATTTTCAAGATAGAGGAGGGTTATTCTTACAGATATTTGACAGTTAAAGGTAACATAATGGTTTCTTATAGGTAAATAATAGCCCAATCAATAAAATAAAGAACGGGTACAACAATAGAATGACGTCACAACAATGTTTTGAGAACATATGTTTCCACCTCACCGCACTCAGTTTTGACGTTTTTACATTATTGTTAAGGGGCGCATTACATTTGCGCGCATTTGGGGATCAACTTTTTTTACGTTTGCGCGCAGCTTTTGATTACATTTGCGCGCATTCATTTTACAGGTAACACAGGTAAAATAATGATAATTCATAATAAATATGACTATAGTTACTATGAATTTTGAACATATTTGTAAATTTAAATTATATATTTTTCATATTGAATTCTAAAAAAAATATACAGTGATCACACACATAGAGTTTTGTTTGTCAGAAACAAATCGATGGAAAAATCATTAGTGTACGATGGATTTACTTTCCGTATCGGCAGAACACTCAAGTCAAGGG